TAATGATATAAATTCAATAATCACCTTCTTCCCTCTTCGTTCACAATATATATATATATATATATATATATATATATATATATATATATATATATATATATATATATATATATATATATAGTCTCATATTTCTAGCTTCCAAGTTGCCTACCCTGTAGTTCGCCAGTGGTTTTCCCCTTACTAAAACAATTAAACACGGGGACAAATAAATCGCCACCATAATTTCGTCGTTTTTATTTTTCTTGCACTTTTTGTGATATAGGTTTGCGGGTCTTTTTTAATCACTTTGCGGGATTTGTTTTATCATCTTTAAGACATTTTTTCCCTTAAGTTTATTTTTGTTGTGTTTAATATTATCGTGCATCTTTACCCTTTTCTTTTATCAATTCCACAATTACGCAGTCGGTGTACTTTTTTTCATTTTTCCTCGCATTTCTTAACTTTTCTTGTAAAAATGATAATTCGAGCTGAAGAACGACAAGCTCCGATGAAGACCGGACCCCTGTCAAAACGAGTGGTATGCACAAACAAACGTTATTAGCTGTGGCGTGGAACTGACCATGACGAAAATAACCCCTGAAAGGGGGAACAAGAGGGACAAATGACAAACACAGATCTCGAAACATTCTTGTCCAGCTCGCTTGCGCCTTTGCATTTAATTGCATTATAATCAGAACTGACCATGCCTATTCTTGAACTTTTTCGCATTTGTCCAGTCCGCCTACCCGCTTCTCAGCTCAAACACTGGGTACGGATAATTTCTTTCCCACGACAGTCAGACGCATCAGTTTGCCCAAGTTAATTCAACGGCATTCCGCTTCACTCTGTCTCGCCTTAATCCAGTTAGCCGCGTTGTGCGGACCTCGATTGTTACAACGGTTGGTCAGACCCTAACGCAAAAATTTGAACTATAGGCGTTGCGAAAGTTTATAGAGCGCAGAAGTGTTTTACACGGAGTTATGTACACTACAATGAAAACAGCAATAATAGACAAACAAGTATGATAAAACATTAAAGGTTCAAACAGACTTACACTGATCGATAAAAGAAAGACATGGATAAAGTTGATTTTATCCTTTTGCCTTTTGTGCATTACTTTAACCACGTTTAATCAATCTCAGCTCCCCGAAAACCACATGAAAAAATATACGAAACAAACATTGAGGTTGCACACTGCACATAAGCAAACTTATATCAGTTCGTGTACATCGCGGTACTAACCAATTTGGAAACTCGACGACAACACTGCCCTTCTTGGCAATAAGCAATGAACGTTGCAAAAAAAAAAAAAAAAAAGAAACACACACACAGAAAAAATAAAAAAAAAGCAGCAGAGAGAATAGCCACGAAATCCATCACCGCCTAATGAGAACGTTGCACCGGGAAAAAGAAAAGCAGAAAGGGCCCTCGTATGCCCTTACGTTTCCTATCGCGCAATTTGATCCGGACGGCAGTGGGTAATTCGACGACCGCCCAACAAATATAGCAACCGCGCAAATTAGACCCCCTCGCGAGATTGCGACAAGTGTCTCTTCCCATATCTTGAGCATTCCACTTATCGGTTGTTAGCAATCTTTTTTATCTTTATTTTTTCTTGTCTGGACAAGGTACTGCGGTCAGTTGGCAATAAATAGTATTATGAGCTTCGCCGTTATTTCCATTTGTATCTTTTTTTTTCCGCTTTTTTTTTTTTTTTTTTTTGTTAATTCAAGACGGCATTCTTGCGCGCAGCGTCCAGACTTGGCAGTGTTTCTGGTCGGCGTGTTGGCACCGCTGTCGGACAGAACTGAGTCCTGGCAGCGTGCTCGGAAGCTCGCGATAGCGATCGAAGCCGATCGGTGTCGTTCAACGCGCTCTCGTACGGAATGTTTCATCCGAGTCGCGTTCGCTATATGGACACGCGCTCCGGCAACCACAGAGCGCTTGGCGAGGCGTAGTTTATTTCTGCGGTAAAAACAAGCCTTGACACTTTTCGTTATTATTATTATTTTTTTTTTTAGGGGGGGGGGGGGGGTTCTTTTTATTTTCACACCAGGGAGCGTTATCTTCTAAGTCGCTGCTTCGGAAACCTTCGTCTATTCCCACAGATTATATATACGTAATATAACGATAGCGAGCTATTGAAACTATCTTATGTTTTTCTTCTTTTTGTTTTTAATAATTTCGTGCAATGAGTTTTGGTTCGTTTCAAAAGGATATCGTCCACTTTTATCGGTCTTGCCTTAGTGAAACAGATGCCCAAGTCCATGACCCTCGAGACACAGAAGCATCAAAAGTGCGGCGGCACGAAACGCATACCAAATGTAGTGAAATGCGTTACTTACTGGGCTTGTCGGTGCATATTTGGGTACAAAAGAAAAGGACGCGAAAGAGACAAGGACAAGAGGGAGTACAGGACGGTAGCACCTGTCCTGTCTATACGCTCTTGTCCTAGTGTCTTTCGCGCTATTTTATTTTTTACCCAAATACAAAAACTTACCCCGTTTCGTTGGACTTTTCGAGCCTTTCTGATTGCAAATTAACATAAAAGCGGCGTTCCAAGGCCCATTGTCTGCGTTCACGAACATTACGTACACTACATGCGTAACGAAGGATTTCCGGTGCCCATACGTTTATTTATTTAACCGATTCATCGAGATACTGTTCGGCGTGCATTCCCCGTTTTCATTGTAAGTGGCGAAACTCCAAAAACCTCAGCTCTACCAGGCACATTCAAATAGAAGGAACTCATCGTGCGAAAACAAAATAATAATAAAAAAAGGCACCGCTCAAAGGTGACTCCGCCCAGCGTTTAGTAAGCCGGCGTCATAAACTCCAACAGGTACCACGCCCTCGGCTCTAAAACTGTCGGATTCACAACAGCAACATCGTCGTGTAAAAGAGTCTTTCTATTCATATTATTTTTTTCTCTTTTCTTTTCGTAGTTTGAAAGTGGAAAGAGACGGAAGCAGACGCCGCAGCCTCTCGCGTGCGCAAGTGCGTGCGTTCGCTGACGCCCTCAAGTTTCCTCTCACTTGTTTCAAACTTCTGTGTGAGTTAACGTGCCAGCGCGGCCGCAATGCGCTCGAACACGTGTTTTCTTTTTCCTCCTTTCCACCCGTATATTTCGAGAAATTCGGTTTAAATAAAGCAATGTGATACGTGTGTTCGCGTGCAACGAGGCTGTTCCTACACACGACAGAAAAAAAAAAAAGAAATGTTCTCAGCTGCGGTGGCTACGGCGGAGCAAGCAAGAATTCCCGCTATAAACCGGACTTGACACTTAAACAAATAACATAGTAAAAAAAATTACTCCGATTTATTAGCTAGAACTTGCGTAAGCTTATCATTTCCGACAACCGAAAAACGAGAGGGCGTTGCTAGCTTCAATGATCTCATAATCTGGGACAATGAGATTGAAACACAACGCGACGAGAATTGCCTGTAATCAATCACCAGGCGAGAAACCCTGGTGTAATCAGCGCTTAAGCGTTGCATTTAAGTTTCCGGGGACTATGCAATGCGAGAATAAATAAGAATGCGGCTGTGTGCTTTACAATGGTCGCTTATTGACTTTTAGACTTGAGCACGACCGACGGCAGGTTGATTCGCCAAGTTGGGCTATGCATAAGATGTAGCAACATTGGAACTGCGGGAGCGGATCTGCCCAACAAAAAATAAACAGCACCGCACAGTGTTCAATGTTCCGAGGTGCCTTCAATGTTAGGCAAAATTTTGCTTGACAAATTTTAAAGCGAAAAAAAAAAAAAAAAAGACAAACCGCCCTGATTGATGTTAGTTTTTTTTTTTTTTTACATAAAAATTGTGTTTTCTATTGAGTGTCCTAGTGACATGATCGGAGGGGGCCTTTCTTACAATTTTGATTATTTGTTTGTTTTGTGTTTGAAATTTTTATAGAAGACCCTCCTCTCAAGAACGGATTGGAGACAGACACCCTCGAATCGCCTCGGTCGTCATGTCAGACCCCCGAACGCGGATTTTATGGCATATTGAGTTTCTTAGAGGCGAAGTAGCATTCAGCAAAGTAAAGATGACCGGCGAAGTTATTTAGTAAGTATTAGGAAACTCGGGATTGGCTTACGCTTATTCATTCTAAGAAAAAATTGCAAATTTAAACGATATATATATATATTTTTTTTTTGGGGGGGGGTTGGGGGGGGGGGGGGGGGGGGTTACGAGAGCAAAAGTCAACTAAAAATCACGGTAAAAAAGAACGCGGACGGTTTTACAAAATAGACCTTATATGAATGCAGTCTCTCTCCCTCCCCCTCCCCCCCCCGCCCCCAAACCAATCAATTTTTTTTTTGTAGATGTTTGGACAGGACATTTATCTTAAAAACCACCCCCCCCCCCCCCCAAAAAAAAAAAAAAAAGTACTTGTTGCTTGCGTTGTGAGACTCATTTTGCGACGGGAGCGACACCAAAACATGCTTCTATATCAAAGTCGTCATCTCGAAAAAAAAAAAAAATAATCCAAGCTCCGAAATCGTTCCTTACTGGAAATGCGTCTCGCAACACAAATTTTACGTTTAAAATCCTTTTTTTTTTATTTTTTTTTTTCGAGAAAAACGTGTTTTGTGACATACGTGTCCTAAACATGCACTTAAATAAAAAAAAATTTCTTTTGGGTGGGTTGAGTGTTCCTTTAAGGCCGGGGTCACACTGCTTATACATCATACAAACCAAAAAACAGTCTGCATACAGATTTGAACGCGAGTCACTCGCGTTCAAATTGCTTCACTGGGACCGAGAGCTGGTCAAGCCGTCTATCGCGGCTTTTATTCTCGGCCCCATCATTACCTGTAAAAGGAAATAAAAATAAACTTTATTATTATTATTATTTATTCTTAAATGCCGCATGGCCATGAGTTGAAGGAGGAAACTTGGCACGCGGCATTCGAACCACGTATACTGCGGTGACTGCAATACCTGCAGACTGCCTTTTGTAATGAGCAGTGGGACCCCGGCTTCAGGTTTTTGGGCGAGCAAGGTCGACTCACCGCGTCCTGTCGGTGAACCTGGCACCGCAGACGGGACAGCGGAAGCCGGCGTCCGCCCTGGCCTCTCCCGCCGAGCCCTGACCGGAGTCGACGCTGGTTGTCTCCTGGAAGTCCTCCTCCGAACGCTCTGCGCAGAGAAGAGAACGAAATCTCACAAATGTCGACGAGTTCTATAGCCTGGTTGCACCATGCATGCCCGAAACCCCGAGAAACACTGATCTCGCATATACATGCCGCCCTGGGGTTTGCAACCTTTTGGAAGTTTACACACTTTCGACTGCTTACGATCGGAAAGGCTTAAAACCGCTTTTGGACCTATTGTGACAGCTCACGACCAGCTAGGCAGCAGCGCAGGCGGTTATAAGCAGTCACAAGAGGCTTAACAACTGTTTTTAAGCCTCTCCAGTCGTAAACGGCTGCGAGTGCGTGAACCAGCCTATACACGCTCCGGTTTTATGAACAGAATAAAAGTGAATGTGTGTGTGAAGAAACGCTTCAGCTGAATTTGTGACAGGGGTCGCAATAGAGAAAAGAAGTTTTATTTGGTATGTTATTCACCAGACACGGCTTTTTTTTTAGCATATAAGGAAACAGAACTATGGCAATGTACAGCGCAAACCACCGTGACAGATCCAAACTGCTCTGTAATGAAAAGAAGTCTCGCGAGTGAACAGCGAGAAGCACAGCTGGCACGAACACGCGATTACCAGTTAATCTGGTTGTTCGTAATCGCACCACTTACTGGGATGTCATTGAAACAAGAAGTGAGATCAAATATGCTCGTGCGCAGTGTTAGCGGTACATAGTTCCCTGTTCGACGCTGTCCTGTATAAACAAAACTCGACCAAATGACCGAAGGCTACAGTGTTTGGAAAAACCGTGTCGCGCACCGGCGCTTCCCCGGAAAGCTTTCTGAATTTATGTCGCTTCAGACTGGGGACAAGAGGAAACGCCGAAGCGCCGGAGATGTCCAGCGAGTCCGGCATTTAATCCGCACTGCATGATGCATCGAGAGCCACGCTGAAAACGCTCAGATGCCAGGTAAGGGTCAAGTTTTTCGATCGTCATTCGTAAACAATGACGAGATAATCTCGCCCTGTTCTGTGAGTAAATAAGCACGTAATAACAACTAAAAAATTTTTTATTGTTTTTGTTGCGATAACGCGAAAAAATGAAAGAAGTTCTGTTTTCGTACCCGTACCCTACGTTTTATCCTTTCATGTATTCAAATCACGTTCCCCAGAAAACGCTTCGGTTCCACAGGGTTCTCCGCTTCTCCGCGTGATTCACGGAAAAGTGGATATTCGCAGGTTTCCTTCATTGCGACAGCGTAATGTATATTGACTTTAAAGGGGTGGTGAAACGAAATTTTAGCGCCGATCTTGTTGCATAAATATGGGCTAGGGACAGGCACCACCTCGGAAATATAAATATTGCGCTGTAAAACACAGGAGAACTAATTTTAAACATAATTAAACGATTTCAAATTCTCATCTGGTGGATGGGGGGAAGTTCTCGTGACATCACTTGTGCCAAAATAGCAGCGCCGTTCTGCGGCAATACGGCGTGCCGGCAGAATTCGCCTAGGCCTGAACGCGTTTGCAAAGCCTTGGCGGAGAAAGCCAAAGCGTAGTTGGCCACAGTGAGCTCGTTCTCGTTGCGGCTCTTTGCACGACACGGCCCGAGCATGCTTCTGGCACGGCCGGTATTAGTTGCTGCGAGTCGCGAGCTGCAAGCCGACGTTAAAAAGGATATGTTTGAACTACGAGGGTGTCAGCAAGAGCCACGCAAATGCCAAATACCTGTTCACACTCGGAGCGGACACACGCGTTTGATCGAAGTGCTGGATTCGCTGTTAGACCGCGTTTCGGTAAGCGCTTCTGGACCGATCTTTTACGATTGCAACTCGATACTGACATGACACTCGGCAAAGAAAGGTTAGACCGACATCGCGTAGCTCCCACGAACTGCTATAGCTCGACACTGACGTAACGTCGAGTCAGAATAAAAATGGCATACTAATAACAGAGTGTACATACCGAGTTGCCAAGGTAATCCGTAATGGCGTTTATTTGAGCTCTATATCACACAAAACAAGGAGATAGAATCAATGAGAGTCCCTTTTCGACGACAGCGTTCGTCACCGCTGTCTCGGAAAACAAGGAGATCGAGATGACAAGGGGAAAATATTGACCTCTGAAATTTAGTTCAGGGATCAAACTACTCATCCGGTAAGGGTCCACAAGGGTCGCGCGGGCATATTCCATTCAGCAGGCCAGCCGGTCATGGACAGATGGTCTTGGCCAAGGACCGCCGGAGCAACGGTGCGTCGAGTCGATGTTGCTGCTAGGCCTACTATATTCTGCCGAGCTCGCTCGGTCGGCAGAATCGTGGCTGTTGTAGCTCTTCTCGTGTGTTTGTGGATCCTGCGTTCTTGATCGTCGTGGTCTGTTTTAAGTACTCCTTCCTTTTTTCTTGCTGGTTGAAGTCGGGACGCACGAGAAGAGCACGAAGAAAAGTAAATGTCCGTTGGTGGCCGATACCAAGTAACTGAGCGACGCTGTCGGCCTTGTTGATTTGATCGTAAAAAGTGCGTAAGACAGCTTCGGAGCTGTCGTAGGATTCTGTCGTAACCTGCGCAAAGGTTACGACAATTTCGTTTCGAGAGCACGGGTTTTCTCTCAAATTTGTCGTACGCACTTTTTTCGTCGTGAATTCGCTTTGAGAATCCGGCCTCAAAGCTGGTTTTGTCAATGCTGCCGTGGTTGCCGACTTGCCGTGGTCCCGTGGTGCAGCGTGCGTGCAGCCCTTGCACATCTCAAACGGCCACGTTGTCACAGGTCGTAAATCGTCGACGCGCCACCAAGTGGCAACGCTCGTAACCACAACATTCACGCCGTAGCCTTTCTCAACCGGCACAAGTGACGTCACGAATGCGCCCAATATCCCAAGACGCATCGCGCTCTCCGATGGCCGATTTCTGAGCGCGCGCCCAATCGGGCCCATCAGGGTGAAAAATATAGCCATCCGTTCAAAATACAAACGCGCGATTATGATTTATGAATATCATTGATCATATTGAACCTATTTCTGACCATAATAGGTGTATTTCAAGTTTCGCTTCAGTATCCCTTTAAGGTTCCACCAGCATTGAACGTACTAATTAGATTATTTCACTGCGATTTGCACATCGCGCGACAATGTTAGCGCAAACACGACAACAACGTTTTGCTTTCGTTTATTTTTTTAATTTGACGCAGTTTGCGTATTGACGAGGTACTAATCTATACAGCCTAGGTTACTGCTCTGAATGAGGACCTTTCGCCAAACTTGTAGCTTTTTTGGCCACCGTCCAGGTCGCTTGTTCGCGCTAACAGTGTCGTGCTGTGTGCACCCCATACTCACAAATGATCCTTAGAATTGAATAACGCTGTTGTTGATCGCCAGATCTTTCCGCTATCAATAATCTCGGAGACCCCTTAGTCCGTCCCCCTTTCTCCCGATGTTTTCCTTACGAACATTCCCCCCTGCATATCTCGAGGGCAGAAACAAGGCGCAACGCTCCGTTCTCGGCTTATACGCTGCCCGTTGCCATGGCTCATCGGCATCTTTTCCCAAAACGAGGAAGTCGAATCGGCAGCGGTCGCCGCCCCTCCAATCCACGTCCGACGGTGACGGGCCGGGCGGGACGCGCGGCGCGACGTGACCGATGGTGCGCCGGGTGTCTCTTCTCTTGGGCGCTGTCCTCGGCAGCGAAGACCGGCCGCTCGTCCTTGGGGCGCAAGAGAGGCGCCCACGAAGCAGGGGGACACGCCGGTCCTTCCTGCACGCGAGGAGCGCACCTCTCTAGGAAGAGGAAGTGCCGTTATTAATTGATCGGGGCTCGCCGTCGGCTTCCGTTGGCTGATCAGCCCACGCCCTGGCGCGGCCCGGCGCTGGACGTCGTGGACGCAGAAAGCGGTCGTCCCGGCCGCCCGGGGCGCTCTGAACAAGGGGGGCCTCGAGCCGCGCTCATTGATTCTTGCATTTCTGCGACTGGTTTAGAAACCTGCTTTTCGGGGTCTCAAACTCGTCGAACGGTCTCGCTTGCTGTGTTCCACGTGTATACAGATAGAGCGGCTGGCTTCCTTTTGGGCTGGTCGTGGAATGGCGCTTCTTTTGGAAGTCACGAATTCTTGCGAGCCACGAGGGAGAATTATGAAATAAAGAGTGGGAAAACGAGGGTGCAACGTTTGGTTAGGAGGGAACTGGAGACTGGTATACTTTTTTAAACAGATCGGGCTTTCTACTCGGATCAGTTTTTGCACTAAAAAAACAACAGCGAAAATGCGGCATAGTATTCACCTAAGCATTACCTGGTACAATACATACGTCAAGAACTGCTCAGAATGAAAACGTAAAAAAAAGGGGGGGGGGGGGGGGGGGGGGCGTGAGGTAATATTCTTGATAAGGAAAACAAAAAATGCAAGAACCAAAATTGCTATCTTCAAAATACTCATTAAAAAAAACGAAAAGAAAGACAGCTATTTGCCTGCGTGCACACTCGGCACTTACCCACGCTTCTGTTCGCTTGCAAATATGACTTGTCTGTCACAGGCAGAGGCGGTTTCTAGGAATCCTATTTATACTTTGTTCTCCTCGGATCGTTTTACTTTCCCTTTGATGCTTCTTAGGCAATAGTATATATCACATGGAGATACTTTCTTGCGTGGGTGTTCTAATATATGTCCTAAAATCGCTGGACAAACTGTCCGTTCAGATGGCATAACTTATTAAACGGAATCTGGCCTATATTTTTTCTAGTATATTTTTTTGGGGGCATATAGTGTAAGATTTTAGAAACTCTTTTAGGACTCCAGAATAAAAATGTTCCCATTTGCCAAGTTAAAAAATATATCCGATGACCAAGTGCCATTGGGAACGCTTTGCTGCTGTAGTGAAATATCGATTCCCAGGAACAAACTAACTAGTCCTTTCAGTCCCCAAAAATGTTTCAATAAAAATTTTCTTTCGTCTTGTCTTTTTTATATTTTAATTGCTAGACACGCGGAAGACGCCCCAACTAATTAATGTTATAATTATTTTGAAAACGTCCAATATTTTAACAACTTCAACACGAAGGGTCAG